TCAAAGATCCAGAGACATAAAAATGTCTTCAGTTGTGTAATATCCTTCCTTTTCCCCTCCACTGTGAGCATATCCCTCCATAATATTCTGTTACAGTTGATATTGGACTATATACTACATTTTAGGCCCCTCCTGCATGTCACTTTATAGATCTTAACTTTTTCCATTAATGGCCTGGTTGTTGGCTCTGTTCTACAGTATTACTTCAAGTTCCTTAATTATTTCTGAAGTACATTATTTATTTTTTTTTTTTTTGCGGTGCGCGGGCCTCTCACTGTCGTGGCCTCTCCCACTGCGGAGCACAGGCCCCGGACGCGCAGGCTCAGTGGCCATGGCTCACGGGCCCAGCCGCTCCGTGGCATGTGGGATCTTCCCGGACCGGGGCACGAACCCGCGTCCCCTGCATTGGCAGGCAGACTCTCAACCACTGCGCCACCAGGGAAGCCCAAGAAATATATTATTTTTCTATATACTTTGCCTCATCACTAAATTTTCTGGAGTTCTAAAGAAATTTTTTTTTTGTTTTTTTTTTTTTTTTTTTTTTTGCGGTGCGCGGGCCTCTCACTGTCGTGGCCTCTCCCACTGCGGAGCACAGGCCCCGGACGCGCAGGCTCAGTGGCCATGGCTCACGGGCCCAGCCGCTCCGTGGCATGTGGGATCTTCCCGGACCGGGGCACGAACCCGTGACCCCTGCATTGGCAGGCGGACTCTCAACCACTGCGCCACCAGGGTAGCCCCTAAAGAAATTTTTGAATGGTACTTTTTAATTTTTAAATGTACAAAAGTGGAAGAAATATAAAAGGAGATTTAAAGGAAAAGAGTTTATATTTTGAAAGATGAATCATAGGCTCATTTTTATATAGGTAAACCTGATAAATAGTTGTGATACCTATATTTGATTTACCTTAAAAATTTTTTTTTTTTAAAAACAGATCATATCTGAAGATATTGGTGAATTACAGAAGAATCAGACTACAACTATGGCCAAAATTGCACAATACAAGAGGAAACTCATGGACCTTTCCCATAGAACCTTACAGGTAGTAATTTGAGCTTTTTTCCAACATTTATAAGACTGTATACACGATGGAAATGCTAAATATGGATTTTTACAATAGAAAAAAACAGACTAAAAGGAAATAACAATAATAGTCCGAAACTGAAAGTACCAAACTTTCTTATTAAAACCTGGAAGTTGGAGGAGAGATCTTACAGGACTGGGTGAAGAACGTGAAAATATCCTAAAATTAGCATTTTATTGAGAGGGTGGGGGGAAAGCAGTGGAAAAAAAAGGCATTGTGGTGCAAGAAAAGTATGCATCAGATCATTAATATCTGGTTTTCATAAAAATAGTAGGAAAATACAGTTTTGATTTTGAGTGCTAGAAAAGGGAGTGCAACTGTTAATGAATGAAAAACAATAGAACTTGCAAATTAACAAGAGGAATTAAAAGAATGAATAGCAACAAAAGTTGAAATTATCAATGAAAACAAACATTATATAGCAGAATCAGTGGGATACAGCAAAAGCTACACTCAGAGGACAATTTATAACCTTAAAAAATCTTCATTTTTAAAAGTACAAATGCAAAAAGTAAAGAACTTAGTACTGATCTTAAGTTAGAAAAATACTATCGATAAGCCAACAGAAACCAGTAAGAGAGAAAGATAAAGTGAAATAAACTTTAAAAATTAATCGTAATAGAAAGATTAAATGGAAAAGCTGTTTCTTTGAAAATACCATTAAGGGACTTCGCTGGTGGCCCAGTGGCTAAGACTTCCACGCTCCCAATGCAGGGGGCCTGGGTTTGATCCCTGGTCAGGGAACTATATCCCATATGCTGCAGCTATGGGTTCACATGCTGCACCTAAAGATCCTGCACGCTGCAACTAAAAGATCCCACATGCTGCAACTAAAAGATTCTGCATGCCGCAACTAAGACCCGGCACAGCCAAATAAATAAATAATTTAAGAAGAAAAAAAGACCATTAAAATGGCGAAACATGAGTCTGAAGAAGGAAAAAAAGACTCATCTCATGAGCCTGAAGAAGGTAAAGAAAAATTAGAAGTGAGAAAGGAGACATTACCACAGATATACACAAGAGAATAAGAAAATACTGCAATGGAATTCACAGCAGTAAACTGAGAAGTTAGAGAAAACATGATTTTCTAGCAAAATTGATCTACAGAGAAAAATCTTAAAATAGACAAATACCATAGAAGCAATTGGGAAAGTTATTAAAGATCAGCCATGGAAAAAGCACCAAGGTCAGATAGTTTCATTGCTGAATTTTGTCTAACCATTAAAGAGCTAATTCCAAAGTTACTTTATTTCAGACAAAATGAAAAATATGGATTTTTTTAACAGTTTGAGATATAATTCATATACCATACAATTCACCTATTTAATGTAATTCAGTGATTTTTAGTATATTCATAGTTTTGTACAAACATCACCACAGTCAGTTTTAGAACATTTTTATCACTCTAAAAACAAACTCCATACCCATTAGCAGCAACTCCCCATTTCATCCCAAACCCCCCCAGCCCTAGGCAACCACTTTCTGTTTGTATGGATTTGCCTCTTCTGGACACTTCATATAAATGAAATCATATGGTATGTGGTATTTTTTTTTTTTTTTGGCGGTACGCGGGCCTCTCACTATTGTGGCCTTTCCCGTTGCGGAGCACAGGCTCCGGACGCGCAGGCTCAGCGGCCATGGCTCACGGGCCCAGCCGCTCCGCGGCATGTGGGAATACCCAGCTACAGCCTCCACGTGAATGTTTATTGCAGCTTTATTCTTAATTGACAAAAAGTGGAGGCAACCAAAATGTCCTTGAATAAGTGAATAGATTTAAAAAAATGATACATTCATATAAAAAATATAATCAAAGGAAATCAAGTCACAGAAAGACAAGGAAGAGCCTTCAATGTGTATCACTAAGTAAAAGTGAAGTCTGAAAGTCTGCATACTGTATGTTTCTGTCAATGTAAAATCTGCACTGTACAAAGTTAGACAGGAAAGAATTATTGAGACTATTGCAGTGGAGGAGAGAGACTGAACTCAACCCCACTGAAACAAAATTCAGGAGTATTTTTAAGCACAGGGGCTGTCTAGTGGAAAATTACTGGAGGAAATTAGAGGGAAGGTTGATCAATGAGTGTGTCCAACACATTGAGTTACTCCTGAGTAAATGTTATTCCTGAACAAAAGTTTTTCTGTTTAATTAGGCCATCTGTGTTTGCTAATTGGTGCCCATGTAAGTTATGCCCCAACCATGGAATAGAGACTGGAAGATAGGGTTGCTATCTCCTTCCATGTTTACATTTCAAAGAAATGGTTCCCTCATCATTAATAAAATCATTTCCCAGGATTGTAAAACTGGCTAGAGGCTGGGAGGAAACGTCCATACATTTCAAAGGGGCAGAGAAAGAGTTTACAATTATAAGTTTTCTAAAGTAAATGCTCTAAGAAAACGAATGTTAGGGGTTTATAGTCAGAAAGAAATCTGTCTACAGTTTAATTAAGCTGAGAAGAATGTTAAGGCAGTGTTGATCATTCCAGCTAAATGCAATTCTGGAAAAGGCAAGACTACGGAGATGGTAGAAAGATGGATGATTGCCAGGCTGGGGAAAATTAGGTGATGTGGAGAATGAGAGAGTTTTATGTGCACTGAAACAGTTCTGTATGATACCATAATGATGGATACAAGACATCCCATAGAACTGTACAAGACAAGGAATGAACACCACTGTAAACTAGGACATTTAGTTAATAGTAAAATATCAATATTGGTTCATTGATTATAACAACTGACTACCATAAGTACAATATGCTAATAATAGGGGTAACTGGGTGGTGAGGAGGCTGAGGAGTCGAGGGGGGTATATGAAAAAACCTTTACATTTAACTCAAATTTTATGTAAATTTACAACTGTTTAAAAAAATAAAATCTATGCAGTAAAAAAAAAAAAAAAATTAAAATCTTTCAGTTTATAAATAAAGATAACTGTTTTGAGAATAGCTGCTGGGGGGGGGGGACAAAAAAGATAGTGAAGGGGACTTGCCTTATCAAATTTTAGAACCTATTTAAAGCTCTTATAATCAAATCAATATGGGATTGATGTAGGATTGGATATAAAGATCCATAGAAAAGAACAGACAATCCAGAAATAGATGCACATGTATCTTAATATGACAAAGGTGGTATTTCAGTTCAGTGGGTTTATTTAATAAGTAATGCTAGAGTAACTGGCTACCCATCTGAAAAATAAAATTAGACCACTATATCACACCATATACAAAAATAAGGTGTACTAACTAAAGACTTAACACTAAGAAATTTGTGAGGCTGCATGTACAACCTAGGGACTGGAGAGACCTTTAGCTAGAAAGCCAGAAACTGTAAAACAAAATTGACTATGTAAGAATTAGAAAATTTTGTATAGTAAAAGGTAACAGAAGCCATTTGTCAATAGTCAAGTGATTTCAGAAAAATTTGAATTTGCAAACAGCACTGATTTCAGTTGTAGTGTTTGTACTATACAGAGATCCTATAATTTGACCTAAAAAACCCCAAGTGAAATATGGGCAAAGAATGTATAAAGGCAGTTCACAGAAGAACAGATGCAAAGTAGTTCTTAACCATTAAAAGATGGTCCTTTAACATTCAAGGGGGGGAATTCCCTGGTGGTCCAGTGGTTATAACTCTGCGCTTCCACTTCAGGGGGTCCAGGTTTGATCCCGGTCGGGGAGCTAAGATCCTGCTAGCCGATCCCACAGGCCAAGTGGTGCGGCCAAAAAAAAGAAATACATTCAAGGGAATGTAGGTTTTTAAAAAAATTTGCGTGATCTCTTTAATACTCATCGGGAGGATCTTTGGGAAAGCAATCTAGCAGCTTCTAAAGATTGAACACACACACTTTTGAACCCAGCAGTCTCATTCCTGGGGGTCTATACCAGTAAATAAAGATATATATACAAAAATGTTTATTATAGCATTGTTCATAGTGTCAAAACTAGAAATAAAATATATGCCCCTCAAGAACACTTGAGTTTATTAATAATGCATGAAAATTATGTAGTCTTTAAAAGAAACAAATTAATGTAACTTGCCTAATAAAAATGGGCAAACATAATTCAAATCTTGAACTGTTAATGATTCTAACTATTGTTAGTGTATTCAGCTAATTTCTTTCAACAGTTGATGTGTAATAAAATTACCTGCATAACTGAAAAGAGATGATTCTATCGTTATCGGTGGGTTTTCTTTGTATAGGTCCTAATCAAACAGGAAATTCAGAGGAAGAGTGGGTATGCCATCCAAGCTGATGAAGAGCAGTTACGAGTTCAGCTAGATACAATTCAGTGTGAACTAAATGCCCCTACTCAGTTTAAGGTAAGCACTTATAAGACCATAAAGCTAGAGTTTGTTTCAGGTGGATCTGCAGAGCAATGTTACTTGGTCTTCAAAAAGAGGAATTTTGTATACCTGTTTTTTATTAAGTATTTGTACTCTTTAATCAAAACTTCCTTTCTAAAGTAGACTCTTAATCATGATGTTTTGGGCTTGTATTAGTGTTTCAAGTAATGTACAGAGGGAGAATTGACACCTTTAATTAGAGTAGTACCTATCCTTTTAAAATAAAACATTCTCTTTTAGAAATGGTTGCTGTTGTGAGCAGTTGTAATTCAACTCAGTATTTTTATTTATTTATTTGGTTGTGCCGGGTCTTAGTTGTGGCAGACGGGCTCCTTAGTTGCAGCTTGCTGGCTCCTTAGTTGCAGCAGGCGGGCTCCTTAGTTGTGGCATGCAAACTCTTATTTGTGGCATGCATGTGGGATCTAGTTCCCTGACCAGGGATTGAACCCGGGCCCCCTGCTTTGGGAGTGCCGAGTCCTATCCACCGTGACACCAGGGAAGTCCCTCAACTCTGTATTATTTTTAGGGCCGACTGAATGAACTGATGTCCCAGATCAGGATGCAGAATCATTTTGGAGCAGTCAAATCTGAAGAAAGATATTACATAGATGCAGATCTGTTACGAGAAATCAAGCAGGTAAGTGTTGCACTAGAGTCACCTTTTAAAAAGGTGAATTCACCACTTCACATCCATTAGGATGGCTGTTATCCAAAAAAAAAAAAAACCCAGAAAATAACAAGGATTTAGAGGATGTGAAGAAAATGGAACCCTCATGCACTGCTAGCAGCAATGTAAAAATGGTTCCTCAAAATATTAAACATAGAATTACAATATAGTCCAGCAATTCTGCTTCTGGGTGCATACCTAAAAGAATTGAAAGTAGGGACTCAAACAGATTATTTGTATAGCCATGTTCATAGAAGCGTTATTCACAGTAGCCAAAGTGGAAGCAATCCAAGTGTCCATAGGTGGATGAATAAACAAAATATATATACACAATGGAATATTAGCCTTAAAAAGGAAGGAAATTCTCACATGCACACACTACATGGGTGAATTTTGAAGACATTATGTGAAATAAGCCAGTTTAAGAGGACAAAAGTTGTATGATTCCACTTATATGGGGTACCTAGAGTAGTCCAGTTCATAGAGGGTAGAATGGTAGTTGCCAGGGGCTGAGGGGAAGGGGAATGGGGAGCTAGTGTTTAATGGGTACGGAAGTTCAGTTTGAGAAGATGAAAAAGTTCAACAGGTAGATGGTAGTGATTGTTGCACAGCATGATTTACTCAGTGCTACTGGACTGGACATAAAATGGTTAAAATGGACATGTTATGTATATTTTCCCACCAAAAAAAAGTTAACCGTTCTCTTCCCCTGTCCCCCACATCAATGAATTCCGAGGTAATACAGACAACTGAAGTACCCTAGACCCTGTTGCTGTGTGTGGGCAGCAGCAGCAGCACCTGGGGGGGGGTCGTTAGAAATGCAGGCACTCAGTCCGTACTCTAGACCCCCGGAAGCTACATTTTTCAAGATCACAGAGTGATTTGTATGCACAGTTAAAGTCTGAGAAGTAACTGCTCTATATCAAATATTCCCAACTTATATGATGCCACATATCAATTATAAATATGTAGAGTTACTGATCCTGTCAGCCCTCAGGGGACCTGGGTGTAGGCTGGGGTAGCCGAAACCTCCAACCACTTGTCTAAGGCTCACTTTCTATGAAGAAGTTGGGACGTACTGCTCTAGCTTAGTTTCATTAGTATAAACATAGAGTGGTTTAATAAAAGCTTATCCAACCATCAACTGTGTCTAAAAAAATATATTAAGATGGTCAACTTTGTGGAACATAGTAGGTAGGATTAATTGGCGTGGCAGGTTGGTATGACCCTGAGGATTTTAGGTAGTTATAAATGTCATCAACAAATCTGATTTTATTATGTGCTTTAGAATGGATATTGCCGTTATATGCAACTAAAAATTAGTTTGGCTTCTGGGTTCTCGAAAAGTATACATACACTTGATTATATTGTAAATTTATATTTACAATAAAATTAACTGAGAAAGATTCCAGCATATTGGAATAAAGAACTATATAAAAGAGTTTATGCAGTAAAATTGGGAATAATATAAACACCTACCTAAGACGATGAAAAGCAGTATATTGTTTTGGAATTGAAGCACCATGGCTCATCACCTGTATCTCAGTTTCTTTATCGGTAGAGAAGAGGTAATAATGGTACCCCCAAAGTGTGTGCTCAAAGGGATTTTAAATGAGTTAATACCCATGAAACTCTTCAAGCTGCCTTAACATCTGGGAAGGACTCTTAGCAATTATAGTTACATCATTATTATCCTCAGTTTGTACTTTAAAACATGGAAATCCTCAGTTTTCAGAATGATTATTTTGTTAGTCATCTATATTTGAGTACCTTCTTGCATTGTTTTAATATACCTTTGTTTTTTATCAAAGGTTGATAAAAGGAACCTTTAAAACTCTGCATCTTTTGTAAAATTTCTGTTACAGATATTGTTCATTGTATATTTGATTTTATTGCTTTTTACAGTAGTATTTTACTGTATTTAAAAGTATTAGCAAAAGATATAGTACAAGTGTTTAAATATGCAGATAATGAGAGCAGCCACTAAGTGCTGTGTTGCTGATAGTGAAAAAATAGCCTTTTTCCTGTGAGTAGCGTGCAGTTTAATAAATACATTGATACTTTTTAAATTCCTTCTAGCATTTGAAACAACAACAGGAAGGCCTTAGCCACTTGATTAGCATCATAAAAGATGACTTAGAAGATATCAAGTTGGTAGAACATGGATTGAATGAAACCATCCACATCAGAGGTGGTGTCTTCAGTTGACAGTTCACAAACTTGTGTTAAAGGTTTGTGAAATACATTTTCTTTTTATATCAGACCTTCCTTAAGAATGAAACTGACCACATGGAGGGGAAAAGAAAGAAAACAATCCTCTCTCCTGACTTGGTTTTTGAGAAGGTTGCTGACAAATTATTATCCATCAAATCTGAAATAACTGTCACTTCACTGCTCTTCAGAGATAGCCTTTGAAAGATTTACATCTAAAAGCTGTAATTACTTTAAAAAAGAAGTACACAATTACCAAAAATATTTCCTATTGTATATTTTTACAACAGCATTCTTCTTAAAAATAATCAGTGTTTAATGATTATTCTCCATTGAGCCTGTACTCTGCTCTCCATAGCAGGTAAATAGGAAATGTCTACTTTGCACATAACAAACTGTATAATTACTTGGCTGTTGGAGATTTGTACTTCAGAATGTAAATGTATGTCAGTTTTTATATTTGTGAATTCATCTGTGGGAGGAGTAAAGAAAATCCAAGAGTATTTAATGATTAATGTGGTTTTCTTTTCATTCTATAAAGATTTGAAAATATATTTTTATATTATTTTACTTATTTGGAATTTACAGAACACACCTAAGCAATTAGGATATAACAAAATTACATTTTATCATTTTTACAACTTTTTTTTAAACCTTTTTATTTCTAAAAAAGATGAAAAGTTATAAATAAATTCTTGATTATAATTACTTTTTATATAATTCTGTCTGGTGCTTTATTTGGCTCTGAGAGAATGGCCATTCATGTCCACACAAATATTAAATCATAATCACAGCTCAAGAATTTCAGTTTTAACCTGGATTTAAGTCTGACTTTACCCTCTAAGGAAAGTATTATCAATACTGATATATTTTGACTAGGGTACAGCAAATAAAAATTACTTCCTGTATCATCCAGGATAAAGAATTCTCTGATACATCATTAGTATCTGAAAACACTGGAAAATCTGAATTAGACATGATAATGTGCAATAGTGATTCTTTAACAACTAGATAATTTTAAACAATTTTTCTGACTACAAACTGCACACCTGGGCTGCATCGTGTTGGCCCCTCTTGGAATGCTTTAACTCTGCATTTCTGCGTAATGCTTTGTCTTATGATGAGAGGTGTTAAGAGAAACAGCCCCATGAACCGTGCCACTGTGTTTATTATGAGGATGGCAAGGAGTGTGATGCACTGTATATCCAGAGGCCTCCCTCTGAGATCCCACTGAAGGAATCTGTCAAGATGCAGACTAGCTAGCTAACGGTTGTGTAGGAGACACAAACAAGGTTCATGGGGCTGTTTCTTATAACACCTCTCATCTTCCTCATCCATGTAGCCGAATGTGGAAGGAGTTTGCCCCTCTACACACCTTCTACCGTGGGAAGAGCTGGTGATCTAATAGATGAGAACTGTTACTCATTGAGCCACATTCTCTGTTGGGCAGATGGCTAATCATGCATACCAGGCTTACTTCTCTAGCCTTTCATTTGTTGTATTGTTAGGTTTCTAATTTCACAAGCCCTAGATAGGGCTCGGGGTCTGCCTTTTAAAGACAGGCCCAGTTAGCCTCCTAAGGTTTGATCCTGCTGGTGACTACATGGGTAAGGCAAGGCCTGTGGTCCTTGTTCATGTAGCTGGTTAGATAACTGGACTTGGTCTGTACCTGAGTTGTGTTCCAAGCAACTGATAACCAAGTTCTCGATTTGGGTGGACATGAGAAGAAAAGACCAGCTTTGGCCTCTGGACTAAGTTGTGTTCTCCAGCACAATTTATAGATGTTCTGTGAACTGGCTAATGGTTCTTGTGATAAGTCCACTCAAAATTCTGAACATGAAGAGAGGTAAATGGTAGAATTAAAGCACACTGGACCCCCTAACACCTAGTTGAGATTTCATGTAGTTTTTCTGAATCTCTGAAAGTGGCCTTAAGTCCTTTTTTGAAACACTGGCAGTGTAAACAAGTGTCAGTTACCAAAGCCCATGCCTAAATCAATTATTTTTCAACCACCACAATACCCGGGGTAAAAGACTACTGTACTGTACTCATTTTCCTTGCTTACTGAGCCCACATATTCATTCATTCAGTACTGTCTGCCCTCCTGGGTTAACATGAGGTTCAAGTTAGGGACTATGTATGTGAAATACTTGGTAAACTGTTGTGTTTATAACAATATAAGGCGTTCATATATAGAAGGAAAATGAAGAGACTGAAAGAATACACTATTTGAATAGAAGTCAAAGTTTGATCCTTTAAAGTAGAACGCCTTTAAATTCTAATTAGGAATTAAATTCAGGTTAACCATTAGCATTACTGACATTTTAATATCTAGCAATTCTACTGAAATTATAGCTAATAATTTTAAAGTCTTATTGAATTAAATCAAAAGTATACAGTTTTTTGCAATCATAAGATTAATATAGAAATAAGTGAAAAATGAATTCTGTGACATCTGGGTCAGCTACCTGAATTTGCTAATTACATTAATATGTAATTCTCATTTCATCAAATGACTTTGGCCAACAAGTGAAAAATACATCATTCCTTTTGATGATTTCTGTGGGATGCCTGTAGCATATTTCAAGTAATAAAGAATATCAAAAAGCTAGTCTGTCTTGAAACTTACCTTGAAATTATCAGAATCTCAGTGTTTGAAAGTATTGAAGCACAAACATCTCTGTACTGTTCTGTACTAAAGCACTCGAGTCTAATAAATAAATAAATCAGCAACCCCCCCCCCCAAAAAAAATTAAAAAGAATGTATCACACTACAGAGCAACAGAGATTTAGAGCAGAAACACTGATTAAAATGATGAATGTCCCAAACGGTGGAAGGAGCATTTTGCCAGATGATGCAGAGATATGGGTTTTGGGACCTGGAACTGGACCTGGAGCTGGAGCTGTTAATGAGAAGACATAGTCATTGACACAGGTCATTTTTAGTATCAAGTTTCATCCACCTGCACCATATATCCTGAATATGTGAACATCCAGGTTGAGTTTTACATGAAGTAACGCTAACCAGGACAACTTTAAAATAAATACAGTTCATTACAGGTTTGGGGCTATATTTTCATATATATCATCAGGGTGTGCTGATCTAGGTTTTATCTAAGATTTCACAGGCTTTTTAGTATCTACGTAGACAAGGTAGTTTTTTGTTCAAGTTCTCTAGAATTTCTTGGCAATTTAAAATTTTCATTTTCTGTATATGCAAGATGAAGTTTAATTCTGTGTCTTTTCTATTTCAAGACAGTATATTTCATATGCATATTCTACCAATATACAGTGTAATATTTTACAGTGTAAAAAATTGCATTTTTTAAACAGCCCTGCAAAGCTGATAAAAAAAATTTTTTTCCCTCTATACGTAAAACACTACTCTGGAGAAAACTCCTTCCCTTTCACCTGAACTAGTGGAAGGAGGTACAGTGGAGTCCAGCCATCTCAGGATGGTCTGTTTCACACTGCCCTTAACTCAGATATCTGACTTCTGACTGTTTTGGTTTAGACTGTACAAGGGAAGACTGATTGGAAATATCCAAATGGGATCACCACTCACATAAATGAAACCAAGAGAAATAGCTAGTAAATGTTATAAAAGCCTTCAACTCATAAATTTACTTGCCATAATTATAAACGTGCAGTTATATGTATACAGGTGGGGAAAACGGACAAGCAGATGCACTCATGCATTAGTTTGCTGCTAGAGAGAAGTGGTTCTCAAGGGGGCTGCATTGCCCCCTAAGGCAGTTTGGAAATTTGTCAGAGTATATTTTTGATTGTCACGGCACTGGGGTGGAAGTAGAGGGCTAGTATCCTGCAGTGCTCTCGACAGTCTTGCACAATGAAAAATCGACCCACTTGCACATAAATTTCAAATGCACTGCTAGACATATATATGTTAAAAACCTATGTATAATGCTCAAACCCAGAACCTAAGTTTTACATATATGCAAAATATTTTTGGATAGTTTTAATAAACACTGGTTTCTATTCTAGTGCCCCTGGTATTTCTTCACTTTCATTTTCTTATATTTGTAAAGAATAGCTTCCAGTCCTCTCTCTTAAATCCAGATTTCTCTGTGTAAATAAATACAATCTACTTCATGACGTCTTCTAGAATAATCTAGGCATTTACATATTGAAATGTATATAATTTTGTCATATAGTTAGGACATTATATTGATTTTTTTATGGTGCAAGTGGGACTTATTTATGAATCTTATTTCAGGATACCTTTATAAAATATTTGTTCTAAAAAGAGAGAATTGGGTTGCAGGGTTGAGAACCATTGCTCGAAAAAGTACAGTCTATATACACAGTTGAAAATGAGCGCTTAAGAAGCAAAATCAAGTTGCCCCCACCGCATTTGCACATACAAGCATTTGGATATGACATTATACCCTGTTATGATGCTTTAAACTCTTGAGATTTTGTTCCTTTTATTGAGAGAAAATAAATTTCTCAGTTTTTCTGTATTGCAGAAACAGACATTTATCAACTAAGGAAATGAGATATTTCTTACCAGGACTGTCGATATCTTGACTTTTGTCTTCTAAAATATAAACAGATTTTGAGTTAACTGCATTGTACACAGATTTATCCCAAAGAGAAAAATCTGATTAAATGATTAAGCTAATTTGGTTATCTCTGCGTGTGGGACTGAGGGGCAGGGCATTAGTTTTAGAGGTATAGGTGGGACTGGGGGAAGGGTTCAGTGTTTAAACATTTGCATGCTTTGAAATTTTTTACCGTGTGTGTGTGTGTGTGTGTGTGTGTGTGTGTGTGTGTGTGTGTGTTTCCATTAAAAGAAAGGTTAAACTTTGTTAAAAAAGAAAAGTCTTTTTTCTACATATTGAACTCAGATTCCCAAGTACAACCATAACACTAATCATTTATTGAATGCTTACTGTGTGTCACGCATTGACCAAATGCTTTATGTACATTATTACCTTCACTTGTTACACTCCTAGTAGGTAGTAGAGTTATCCATATTATACAGAAATTCCCCAAAACTTGCATAAAATCACAGAGGTAATCAGTGGTAGTTCAAACCCTCTGCTCTTACTTACTATGCTATTCTAACTCCAAGTGTGTTAGCATTGAAATATTACAATATTGCCATATTCTGACAGCTTTGAAGCCAAATGCCAATTCTAGGAGCCCAGGTTAGAGGTGTATTTTCTATAACTACATCTAGCTGGAAGACAAGTGTCATGTGACAGAAAATGAACAAAACTTGAAAAGTTTGGGTCTTGACTTGTCTCATATTTCCATCTCTGAAACGGTGATAACAATATTTCTTTTATTGGATTATATGAGATCCTGTGTAAATGTTTTGACACCACTTTTTAAAAAGCCTGCACTACACACAGCTTTCTAGGAGAGGGCACGGTACAAAACAGTCCCAGCAAAACTGAGTGGCCTATTTGTTGGAGGACAGAGAGATAAAGGGCACAGAATGGATGGTGCTACACTGTACGGTTCTCACACACACCTCTTTGATGATGCTATTCCTGTAACTACAGATTCTCTCACGGTAGCCTGCGCACCCTCGGAAGCCTCCTGTTCCATTCTGGAATAGAAAGGCGCAGCGGGCAGCCAACTGTCCCAGTTTCAGGTCAACTGCCTTTTTCTCTGCCTGACCCAGGGAACCATAATAGCAGTCTGCTGCACACACTGAAGGGAGTTCTCAACATTTGCCCCTCTGGCTTGCAGCCTGGGGTGTCAGAAGCTGTGCAGCTCAAGTGTCCTCTCCCCATCCCCCTTAAAATGGAGCTAACTGAACGATTATGGTAAAGGACTCAGAACCCCATGGTGCCTCCACCCCCAGAAAAGAATTTATTACCAGGTTTTTCACCCAGTTGTAACATTTTTATTCCTAAATAAAAAAAAGATTTTCAGATAATAATAAAGGCATCTACCATTTACTACTATTTTAAAGCACCATTCATTTTGCCAGTACTTTTATCTCATTAGGACTTTAATCAGTCTTGCAAGACAGAAATCTTCATTGTACAGATGTGGGAGCAGAGGTGCAGAAAAGTGAAATAAAGTTACCTCTACACAAAGTTACCCAGAGTAAAATGGCAGAGGAGAGACTTCATGAAGTTGGGTCTGTCTGTCCACACAGACCAGACCGTGTTCACCCTCCACATGCTGCTCAGCAGCTGCCTTTCAGGCAGCCGGGGCGCCTAGTAAGGTGCCAGCGAGAGTACTATGCAAACTCAGGTCCAGCGAGCTGAAGAGATGTAGACACACAAAGTGTGTCATCAGTGTCATTAGAGGTTCACTTCAAAGTCGCGGCCAAATAAGCCCAACAGTTCCAATCTGGGTGAATATAAAAGTATTGCTGGAACCTCTCTCTCTGGGTCTGTCAAGTGCTTTAGATCATGAACTGGGAATGGCTGTTTCTGTACACAGCACACATTATCCAAAGGCAGCAGTATGAGGCAAACTCAGTACTGTGCGGATGGATGTCATTTAGCAGATGCCAACAATCTAATTTCCTTAACAGATGATCATTCCATAATAACAAAACCTAACAAATTATTTTCAAAACACTACATGAGCTCGGAAGCGGGACTGAACCATTAGACAGGGGCTTGCGCCCTGAGATTTTGTGTTTTTATAGTCCTTACAGATATCCCTATAAGGTAACATGACATGTGTTAGCCACCTTTGAAAGACGACAATTCTGAGGCCTAGAGAAGTCTTATTACTGTCCATAGCTCTCTGGTAAAATATTAGATAATGTCCACTTTTTTTTTTAACTTCTTCTTGTCTCAGGAAAAAAATTAAGTTTGAGGGCCGTTTTCATTTTTTTCCTCCCCTGTAAGCGTGAGTTCTGAGGCCCTTTTGACTTGACAGGAGTCATACTGTTCAGTTTCTCTGGCCACAGAAACTCAAGGCCCCACCCTCAGCAACAGCCTCATACTTTTTAAATACCTGCTTTCATGGTTGTATCTTGAAGGTAGGTTAAATGTGTCATGATAAGTATACTGGAAAAACACTAAAGGAACCACAAGTTTTAAGAAACAGGTACTTGGTCATAAGGTAAGAGACCTGGGTCCTTCACTCACTCACGTGATCTTGCTGTGCAAAGTACTTTGCCTCCCTTGCGTATCTAATGGTGACAATTATATCTGTACTCCCCAGATTGGCAGCTTCCTCTCCAGCATGCCTAGCATTGCTTACCAGGTAGTGAAAATGGTTCTGGAGTTTTCATTCCTATGTGAGAAAGAAATTTTCAGTGACTTGCAGTTTGTTCCAGTGAGTACAATTTCCAAACTCCTTCTCGTCTCATGAACTCAAGAGATACAAGCACCAAAGGTCCCACTGCACTGTAGTTTCTGGCTTTTTACTTGAAAGTTCTGGCTACATGAACCCTCACGGTGCAAATCCATGCCAAACTCAGAGGAGCCTTCTGCCATGGTGCCTCATTAAGTCTGCCTCTATGCCAGGCGAGTACTATGCTTAGTTACCTGGCGATCCTAGATGCTGAGATGTCATTAGCCAAAGCTAACAGTTAGCTTTTGCATGAAGTTGAAGTTTCTTTTGAGTACCTTTAGCTATAGAATCTAAGGCTGGACTGCATGTATCCAGGTCCCAGCAGCCTTGCCTTCAGCCATGCCCCCAGCAGAGCTAACTTTCCTGCTCCAGGAAGGCATGGACACTAGGGAGGAAAGGTACTTTTCTATGCTCTTCCCCAGCTAAATCTTTGTAGAATGACTGGCAGGCAGCTGTAAGCGAAATATTAATGAATAATAATCTCATGACAATATTCTCTTTAATACACGGGGGGATCCTTCTCTTCTCATACTTTGGCCAAGAAAGTAAACAAAGCTGTCTTACCAGGTATTTGGGTGGCTTCTTGGCTCTTCATACCTGAAGACAGAAATGAATATTGGTTAGTATTAATCAACTATCTTGCATTGTTAATGCTCCCTTTGGTCTATACCTCCCCCATCTTCAACCCCACCCCCACCCCCAAAAAAAGGAAAAAGAAAACAGTAACAACAAAAACATCTTTCAATTGCTCTTCATTCTCTAACTGGACAAAGCCCAGACTCCTTATGGTGGAGTTCAAGAACTTCATTATCTGGCCAACCTTATCTTCATAAGGCAGTCAGTCCCAGTACATCGGTTTTTAAATGAAATAGTACTGGGTCTAAGTCTCTGCTTGGTTTAGCTCTATTGTCATAGTTATTAGCTCTATGATTGCGCAGGCTTAATCCCTCTGACCTTCATTTCCTTATTTACGCAAAAGAAATACCTTGTAGGTTTGTAGTCAGTGGTGATTAAAGGTGACGCATTATAAAACTGCTTAGTACATTACTGCATGGAACATAATAATCTCTCAATAACTAGAGTCCCTCTGTTTTGACTTAACTTATTCCTCAAACTCTCCACGTCCAGTAACGTCCTTAGTTCTAGGAGTCCTCATGCCTCCTCCTAACCTTGTGGCTAGTCTCTGAGAGTGAGTAGAAGATCACTTACCAGGTAAGACTGTGGACTCCTGGCTTTTCGTTCCTGAAGATGAGAATAGGAAATATTTAGTGATAAACGCAGTAAGCTTGAAATTTTAACCTTATATTTACATAGCTATTTACAGTGGAAAACTCGAAAAGCTTTGAGAGATGACCCACTCTCAAAGCTTTTAGAGTTTGGGGGAAAAGGGAAAGA